TTCTTAATTAACATTTTAAAGTTTCACAAGGTACTCTATGGAACATTATAAATACATGTGTGAATTTATTAATGCAATGATTTTGAATATATTTTGTAATGACCCTTCAAGTCTAATATAATACATTTTATGCTTTATAAAAATTATGGAGATGTTAAATTCTTTAGTGAACAACTGGAAAAATATCACAGACAGCACAAGGATTCAGTAGCTCTAAAGCCCACCAGAAATGTAGGATTGCTGCTCATTGACACTAAGCTACTAAAAGAAAAACTCATTCCATCACCTTTGCGATGCTTGGAGGTAAGTATGGACTAGGAAGATTTTTATTATGGTCTCTATAATTATTTTATGATTTTTTAACTGCAAAAAATCCTATCTTTATCTTCTACACTACTCATCTGTGAGTTTGTTGTACTGTGATGGCTTGCGTGTTGCTGTGAGGCTTGAGGCTATGCCACTGGTATTTCAAGTGCCAGCAGGGTCACCCATGGTTGACAGGTTTCAGTGGAGCTTCCAGACTGAGAAAGACTTGGAAGAAGGAAGGGGCCATCCACTTCCCAAAGAATTGGCTGTGAAAACCTATGAGTAGCTGTGAAACACTGCCTGATGTATCACTGGAAATCTTTATGAATAGCCCTGAAACATTGTCTGATATACTGCTGGAAGATGAGCCCTTCAGGTCGGAAGGTACTCAAAATGCAACAAGGAAGAACTGCTTCCTCAAAGAAGAGTCAACCTTAATGACTTGGGTGGAATAAAGCTTTCAGGACCTCCAATTGCTGAGGTGGCATGACTCAAAATGGGAAGAAACAGCTGCAAACATCCATTAAAAATCACAACATAGAATATATGAAGTATGAATCTAGGAAAATTGGAAGTTGTCAGAAATGAAATGGAATGCATAAAGATCAATATCCTAGGCATTAGTGAGCTGAAATGGACTGTTTTTGGCCATTTTGAATCAGACAATCATATGATCTACTATGCTGGAAATAACAAATTGAAGAGGAATGGTGTGTATTCATCATCACAAAGAATGTTTCAAGGTCTATCCTGAAGTACAGTGCTGTCAGTGATAGAATAATGTCCATAAGCCTACAAGGAAGACTAGCTAATATTACTATTATTCAAATTTACACACCAACCACAAAAGCCAAAGACAAGGAAATTGAAGATTTTTACCAACTTCTGCAGTCTGAAATTGACCAAACATGCAACCAAGATCTATTGATTATTACTGGTGGTTGGAATGCAAAAATTAGAAACAAAGAAGAATCACCAGAAGTTAGAAAATATGGTCTTGGTGATAGAAATGACACCAGAGAACACATGATAGAATTTTGCAAGACCAACAACTTATCCAGTGCAAATACCTTTTATCAACAATGTAAATGGCAGCTAGATATGTGGACTTTGTCAGATGAGATACACAGGAATCAAATCAACTACATCTATGGAAAGAGGTGATGGAGAACCTCAACATCTTCAGCCAAAACAAGGCCAGGAGCTGACTGGAATAAACCATAAAGTGCTCATATGTAAGTTCAAGTTAAAGCTGAAGACAATTAAAAGAAGTCCACGAGAGCCAAAATATGACCTTGATTATATCCCACCTAAACACCGATGACTGAAAACCAGATGAATTGTTGGGTAACATCAAGAACATCATACATGAAAAAAAGCAAAGGTTCATTTTAAGACAGGAAAGAAAGAAAAGACCACAATGGATGTCAGAAGAGACTCTGAAACTTGCCTTTGAATGGAGAGTAGCTAAAGCAAATGGAAGAATTGATAAGATAAAAGAGCTGAACAGAAGATTTCAAAGAGCAGCTTGAGAAGATAGTCAATTATTATAATGAAGTGTACAAAGACCTGGAGTTAGAAAACCAAAAGGGAAGAACATACTTGTCATTTCTCAAGCTGAAAGAACTGAAGAAAAAATTCAAGCCTCGAGTTGCAATATTGTAAGATCCTATGGGCCAAATATGGAATGATGAAGGAAACATCAAAAGAAGATGGAAGGAATGCACAGAATCACTGTACCAAAAAGAATTGGTCGATGTTCATCCATTTCAGGAGGTGGCATATGATGAAGAACTGATGGTATTGAAGGAAGAAGTCCAAAGTGCACTCAAGGAATTGGCACAAAAACAAGCCTCCAGGAATTGACAGGATATCCACTGAGATGTTTAAACAAATGGATGTTGCGCTGGAGATACTTACTCATCTAGGCCAAAAAATTTGGAAGAATCTGGCCAACTGACTGGAAGAGCTCCATGTTTGTGCCCATTCCGAAGAAAGGTGATCCCACAGAATGTGGAAATTATCAAACAATATCATTAATATCACACACAAGTAAAATCTTGCTGAAGATAATTAAAAAACAGTTGCAACAGTATATTGACAAGGCACTTCCAGAAATTCAACCTGGATTAAGAGGAGAACAAGGGTTATCATTGCTGATGTCAAATGGATCTTGGCTGAAAGCAAAAAATATCAGATAGATGTTTACTTGTGTTTCATTGCCTATGCAAAGCCATCTGTATGGATCATAACAAATTATGGATAACATTGAGAAGAATGGGTATTCTGGAACACTTAATTGTGCTCATGAGGGACTTGTACATAGACCAGGAGGTTGTTGTTCGAATAGATCATGGTTTGAAATCAGGAAGGAGTACGTCAGGGTTGTGTGTCCTTTCACCATACTTATTCAATTTGTATGCTGAGCAAATAATCCGAGAAGCTGGACTATATGAAGAAGAATGCGGTATCAGTATTGGAGGAAGACTTTAATAACCTGTGATATGCAGAGGACACAACCTTGCTTGCTGAAAGTGAAGATGACTTGAAGCACTTACTGGTGAAGATTAAGACAACCGTCTGCAGTGTGTATTACACCTCAACATAAAGAAAACAAAAATCCTTACAACTGGACCAATAACAGCATCATGATAAATGGAGAAAAGGTTGAATTTGTCAATGATTTCACATTACTTGGTTCTGCAGTCAACACTGATGGAAGCAGCAGAAAGAAATCAGATGCTGTGTTGCACTGGGCAAGTGTGCTGCAAGAGACCTCTTTAAAGTGCTGAAGAGCAGAGCCATCTCTTTGAAGACTAAGGTATGCCTAACCCAAGCCGTGGTGTTTTCAGTCACCTCATATGCATGGGAAAGCTTGACAGTGAATAAGGAAAACTGAAGAAAAGTTGATGCTTTTTGAGTTGTGGTGTTGGTGAAGAATATTAAAAGTACCATGGACTGCCAGAAGAACTAACAAATCTGTCCTGGAAGAAGTGCAGCTAGATTGCTCCTTGGAAGCGAGAATGGCCAGACTTCATCTCACCTACTATGGTCATGTTGTCAGAAGGGACCATTCCCTGGAGAAGGATATTACGCTTGGTAAAGTTGATGGTCAGCAAAAAAGGGGAAGGCCCTCAACGAGACGGATTGACACAATGGATGCAACAATGGTTTCAGGTATAGCAAGGATTGTGAAGTTGGCACAGGACTGGGCAGTGTTTCATTCTGTTGTACATAGGGTCACTGTGAGTTGGAGCCAACTTGAGGGCACCTAACAACAACAACAATATCTTTATTTTCAAGTGTTAAAAATATATAAAATTAAATAAGTCTAGTGGACCTCCTTAATTTCTAGAATGAGTCTCTTATTGTTATTTCTGCCTGAAGCATAGTCAGCTTTCAGATCAAGGAAGAGAGGGACTTCAGACCTCAGATTTGTCTGTTACTGCCACCTATTTATGCTTTGTTGGAATATTTCAAGGCTTCCTGCAAAAGAGAGCCCACTCTAACAGCTCAGTGTCCTAGTGGGTTCTGAGGTACTTGGACATATCATTTCTGGGCCTCAGGAATGCCTGCTGATTGTTGATGCTAAGATCAAGTTTAAAGATCATTTCCTGATCTGGTACTGTCCATGAAGGTTTGATCATGTTTCGGTGAATTTTAGAGCTAGAGAAATCTGCATTGGTTCTGCAATAAATTTCAGTCTTTCTTTGGAGCCAGAGTATATGTCTCTCTCAGATATCCCAGAGAGACAGTGGCATAGAGCAGGGATCAGCAAACTTTATGCAAAAGTCCAATAGAGCCTGCCATCTATTTTGTAAGTACAGTTTTACTGTATATTTGTATACACATTGTGTATGCCTGCTTTCTCACTACAAGGACAGAGAGTTGAGTACAAGTAGTCTCCAACTTACAATGTATTCAAATTACTACAAACTGCACTTACAGCCATCTTGTGTTTTATTTCTATATCTTATTGTTAATAATAAGGGAGCTCTGGTGGCATGGTGGATGTCATTTAGCTGTTCACCAGAAGGTCAGTGGTTCAAACTACCAGCTGCTCGACAGGAGGAAGATGAGGCAGTCTACTTCTGTAAAGATTTATAGCCTTGGAAACCCAAATAGGGGCTGCTATGAGTCAGAATCAACTCGATGGCTGTGGGTCTTATTGTTAATAATATGTACTACATGTAATGTTGCAGCATGTAATTTGCTGATGTTGTGATTGTCAAATGTTCACTTGCAGATATTCAAATATGAGATTTATAAAGATACTGATAATAAAAGGCAATAATAATGAAAACTTTTTTTAAAAAAAAGATATTCAACTTACGTCAGAATCAACTTACAACACAGTCATAAAAATGGAGCTCCAACAGTATCAGGGCCTACCTATAGTTGAGACAGAGACTATATAGCCTACAGAATTAAAATATTTACTGTCTGACCCAGTATAGAAAACACTTGCTGATGCTAGTGCAGATGACAGAAGACACAGTATAAAAGACAGCAGAACTGGGTGCTAGTCTCTATTTTGTCATGGATTCGTTGTATGGCATTAGACTTTCTTCTGGAACTTTGTTTATTTGTTTGTTAAAAAAAGGAAAACAAGAAACAACACATTTGGAGTAGATTCAATTCAATTTCCACAAACATTTTTGAGCTCTACTACATACATACCTAGTATAACCAAAGTAGTATTTTTCAAACATTTGAAATTGTAACTTCAATAAGAAATATATTTTTTATCAAAACCTCACACTGTATTGGTCTGAGTCAAATCAGGAGACAAAGAAACACAAATTAATTAAAGAAGCAAAGTTTAATATAAAGAATTAGTAACTATAATAGCAAATTGGAGTAACTAGAGATTTGCTAGTGAGAATTAAAGAGAACTCTGAAGAATATAGGACTATCAGATGTAAGAAGCATCTGCTTTCCCTAAGACAGAGATAGTGCATGCTATGTAGACTCCCCACTGCCACCAGCACTACCAGGGCTGAGATCTAGATCTTGTTGGAGAGGGAACAGTAGTGGCTCACTGGATGACAGAAAAGCTTGGAAATTTGCCCTCTAGTGAAAGCTGGACAGAGAAAAAGAAAGCAGAATTTATATGTTCAAACTGTGGCATTAGTGAAGAATATGGAATATGCTGTAGACTGCCAAAGAATGAAAAAATCAATCTTAGAAGAAATACAACCACAATGTTCCTTAGAAGTAAGAATGGTGAGACTGACTCACTTGGTTTGGACATGTTGTCAGGAAAGACCAATTGCTAGCAAAGGACCTCTTGCTTGGTAAAGGAGAGGGCCAGTGGAGGCAAGAGAAACACTCACTGTGGTGGATTGAGACAACGCCCAAAACAATGGACTCATATATACCAACAATCATGAAGATGGTTCAGGAATGGTCAGTGTTTCATTCTGTTATACATGAAGTCACTATGAATTGGAGCCTACTCAATGGCAACTAATAGCAACAGCAGGGTGTCTAAAAAGATGCTCACAAGTAGATGTCTCACTGATGCATTTTGTTAGAAAACCACCTAAATCCAGGGTGCAGGTGGAAGCTGCTGGCATCTGCTGCTGTATCCTGGCACTAGAGAAACCATATGGACTGCGTGAGCCTGCCAAGCGAGCACCCCAGAACCAGGAAAAGGAGCCCTTTCTTCCTGCGGTGTCTTTCCAGTGCCCTCTACTGAGGGGTGAAAAAGAAATAATATTTAAACAGCCCAGAACAGGCTATGAAAAGTGGATTTGGAGCTGAGAGACGTTAACTGATAATGGTGCATACACAAACATCTCCCTAGGCTAATTATATCCTTGTTCATAAACAAAGAAAGAAAGAGTCACTGGGATTCTGAACACCCAACTTTCCTTCAGAATTAAACCTTAGACATATATGTGATTAGATTAACTAAGGTCAGAGGCCAACCCTAAACTATGGTCATGCTTAGAACATGAAGACAATGATGTCCCTAAGGTTGGTGTCACTCCCCCATGGCCCTCCTCCCATACTAGAACATACAGAACCCTTACTAATGTTTATTTTCAGTTTTAATCTTAGAGTAATATGTGATAAATATGGTTGTAAATTGCTTAAATGTAGTATTTCTTAGATTATATGAATACTAACAGCAAAATTATTTTGTAAAATATTTCTACATTGAATTGACACCACTCAAAATGAGAATAAATAGCTAACTGCAAACATCCATTAATAATTGGAATGTGGAATGTACAAAGTATGAATTTAGGAAAACTAGAAATTGTGAAAAATGAAATGGAACACATAATGAACGATACCCTAGGCATTAGTGAGCTGAAATGGACAGCTATTGGAACTTTTGAATCAGACAATCATCTGATCTACTATTCCAGGAATGACAAATTGAAGAGGAACAGCATTACATTCACTGTCAAATTAACCTTTCAAGATCTATCCTGAAGTGCAATGCTGTAAGTGATAGGGTAATAACTATAGACCTACAAGGTGTATTCCAGTTTGTGCATGCAAAGGCATTTGATGTGTGAGCCATAACAAAGTACAGCTAGTAATGCCAAAAATGGGTCTTTCCAGAACACTTAGTTGTACATAGATGAAGAAACAGTTGTTTAAACAGAAAAATGGGACACTGCATGTGTTGAAATCATGAAAGGTGTGTGTCAAGATTGTATCCTTTTATCATATTTACTCAATGTGTATGCTGAGCAAATAATCCAGGAGGCTGGACTATATGAAGAAGAACGTGGCATCAGGATTGGAGGAAGACTTGTTAAAAGTCTGAGATATGCAGATAATACAGCCTTGCTTGCTGAAAACGAAGATAACTTGAAGCACTTACTAATGAAAATCAAAGACTGCAGTCTTCAGTATGGATTACACCTCAATATAAGGAAAACAAAAATCCTCACAACTGGACCAGTAAGCAACATCATGATAAATGGAGAAAAGATTGAAGTTGTCAATGATTTCATTTTACTTGGATACACAATCCATGCCCGTGGTAGCAGCAGTCAAGAAACCAAATGATGTATTTAATTGGACAAATCTGTTGCAAAGATCTCTTTCAAGTGTTAAAGAGCAAAGATGTCACTGTGAGGACTAAAGTATGCCTGACTCAAGCCATGGTATTTTCAGTCTCCTCATATGCATGTGAAAGCTGTACAATGAACAAGGAAGACGGAAGAGTTGATGCCTTTGAGTTGTGGTGTTGGTGAAGAATACTGACTATACTATGGACTGCCAGGAGAACAAACAAATCTGTCTTGGAAGAAGTACAGCTGGAATACTCCTTAGAAGCTAGGATGTCGAGACTTCATCTCTTGTACTTTGGTCATGTTAGTAGGAGGAACCATTCCCTGGGGAAGGATATCATGCTTGGTAAAGTATAGGGTCAATGAAAAAGAGGAAGATCCTCAATGAGATGATGGCATAGGACTGAGCAGTGTTTCATTCTTTTGTACATAGGGTTGCTATGAGGCAGAACCAACTTGACAGCACCTAACAACAACAATCCAATGATATGCTGTTGGTTCATTTGCCTGGAAGTGATTTAATAAGAAAGAAAAAATGCCTTTATATACACTATTGCTTCCAATGTTGATTTAACAAATATCCAATTAGGATATATATAAACTATATGATAACAGAAAACTATTCAAATATTTGTATATTATGATTTCTTTTTCTTTCGTAGGTGCTAAATTTTATGCTTCCTCGTCAAAGCAAGAAGAAAGTAGATGCCATTATCTCTGAAGCACAAGACGCAGAGTATAAACTTGAATTCATCCCAACTACTACCATAGAATACGTTAATAGCTTAGTGTTTCTTGATGAAATTCAGGAAAGGGTGAGTTGGTGATACTGGGTAACTCAGATTTCCATTTATTATGCTAGGTATGGGACATACCTGACAAGGAAGAGGCAGGGACTGAAGATCAGGAACAGGATGTCAGAAACATTTTCAAACTAAGTTAATAGATAACCTATGTCACAGTGTAATAACAGCTAACATTTATCAAACTTAGTACAAGTCAGGAACTGTATTAAATTTTCACATGTATTACATTTTCATTCCTCACAAAACTTGAGAAGTGTGGATAGTATTTATTATCATTTTGCAATGAGGAAACAAAGACTAAAACAGGTTATGTTGCCCAAGATCACAGAGCTTGTATGTGGTAGAGATGGAATTTAAATTGGATCTGTTTGACCACAAAGCCCATGTTCTCAACTACAGTTCATTGTATATCTTATTTGCAATAAATGATAATAGAATTGGAATTTAGATATTCGTTATTATGGATGTCTTCAACCCTCGATCTACAGCTGTCTAATAGTCAGGATCCTTTCTTTTACAAATGAAAGAAGACTAACTTAAACTACTTAAGTGGAGTAGTTGTTGGGGAAAGAACAGTAGATTCAAGGATTCCAATAACATAAATGATGTGGTGAGATGTCTCTCTCTCTCTCTCTCTCTCACACACACACACACACACACACACACACACACACACTCTTAACTCTCATTCACTCCTTTGTCTCCCTTGCTACTTTCTCTCTAGGAACTCTTGGTTCCCTTCTCTCAGTCTCTTGACTGTGGCAGGCAACCTAGCATTTGGATTCAGTAGTCAATTATTTCAATCTCATATCAAGCTGACATTCAATATTTCACTCATATCAATCTGGCATTCAACATTTGAAATAGAGATAAATTATTTTCTTAAATGCCTGGAAATTGAAGAAATACTCCAAATAAAAAATATAAACTGAATGAAATAAATCTTTAACAACTGGATAGTCTATTATACTTGTTAACAGCTCATAATTAAAGCTATTTCACATGCTTAGGAAAGTAACAATTTTGTTTCTCATTTCAAGAACAGTGTCTACTCAAAAGGGCAGATACTTTTAGATTTTTCTCAGATTTGCTTATACCTCATCTCAGGACTCCAGAGATGCAAGTATTTACTATTTTTTGTATTTATTAAGTACAGAAATCAAATTGAGTATATCCGTGGAAAGAGATGATGGAGAAGCCCAATGTCATCATTTAGAACAAGTTCAGAACAGATCATCAATTGCTTATATTCAGTTTGACATATGAAGCTAAAGAAAATTAAAATAAGTCCACAAGAGCCAAAGTCAAGCCTTGAATATATCCCACCTGAATTTGGCGACCTTCTGAAGGATAGATTTGATGCATTGAATACCAGTGACCAGACAAGTTGTCAGATAACATCAAGGACAACATACATGAAGAAAGCAAAAGGTCATTAAAAAGGAAGGAAAGAGAGAAAGCATCAAATGAATGTCAGAAGAGACTCTGAAACTTGCTCTGGAATGGAGAATAGCTAAAACAAAATGAAGAAATGATGACGTAAAAGAGCTAAACAGAAGATTTGTTTAGTTGAGCCAATGTGGCTCAAGAAGACAGAGTATCATAGTGAACTGTGCAGAGAGCAGAAGTTAGAAAACCAAAAGGGAAGAACCTGCTCAGCATTTCTCAAGCTGAATGAACTCAAGAAAAAGTTGCCATATTGAAAGATTCTATGGGGAAAATAGGAGTTCTGGTGGTGTAGTGCCTAAAGCATTTGACTGTTAATCAGAAGGCTGGAGGTTCAAACCCACCAGCCACTCCTTGGAAGGAAGGTTGGGCAATCTACTTCCGTAGTGATACTGCCTCGGAAACCCAAGGAGGGGTTGCTGAGTTGGATCCGACTCAATGGCCGTAAGGTTTTTTTTTTTTTTGTTGTTGTTGTTGTTATGGGGAAAATATTGGACAACACAGGAAGCAGCAAAAGAAGATAGAAGGACTACATAGAGTCACTGCACTGAAAAAAATTAGTCAATATTTAGCCACTTCAGGAGCAGCATATGATCAAGAAGCAATAGTATTGAATGAAGAACTTCAAGCTGCCCTGAAGGCAATGTTTGTAAACAAGGCTGCAGGAACTGGCATAATACCAGTTGACATGTATGAACAAATAGATGCAACACTGGAAGCACTCACTCATCTATACCAAGAAATTTGGAAGACAGTTACCTGGCCAGCTGACTGAATAGATTCATATTTATGCCTATTCCACAGAAAGGTGGATCATTCCAGCATAATTTGGAAATTATTGAATATCATTAATATCACCCACAAGTAAAATTTTGCTGAAGATAATTCAAAACTGTTTGCAGCAGTACCTTGAAAGGGAACGGCCAGAAATTCAAGCTGGATTCAGAAGAGAATAGGGAACAAGGATTATCATTACTGTTGTCAGGTTGATCTTGGCTAAAGTAGAGAATATCAGAAAGATGTTCACCTATGTTTTATAGACTATGTAGAGAAATATGTGTGGATCGTAACAAATTATGAATAACACTGCAAAGAATAGGAATTCCAGAGCACTTAACTGTGCTCATGTTGAACCTATATATAGACCAAGAGGCAGTTGTATGAACAGAACAAGAAAGTTGTGCATCAGTGTTGCATCCTTTCACAATATTTATTCAATTGGTGTACTGAGTAAATAATCCAAGAAACTGGGCTATATGAAGAGGAAAACAGCATCAGGATTGGAAGAAGACTCATTAACAACCTGTGATATGCAGGTGACACAACCTTGCTTGTTGAAAGTGAAGAGGACTTGAAGCATTTACTGAAGATCAATGATTACAGCCATTAGAATGAATTACACCTCAACATAAAGAAAAAAAAATCCTTACAAGTAGACCAATAAGCAATGCCATGATAAATGGAGAAAAGATTAAAGTTGTAAAGGATTTTTATTTAACTTGATTTTTCCTGGATCCACAGTCAATGCCCATGGAAGCAACAGTCAGAAAGTCAAATGACGTATTGCATTGGGCAAATCTGCTGCAAAAGACCTCTTTAAAATGTTATAAAGCAAAGATGTCACTTTGAGAACTAAAGCACGCCTCACCCAAGCCAAGTCAGATCTGACTCATAGCAACCCCTCCTTGGGTTACCAAGGCAGTAGCACTATGGAAGTAGATTGCCCAACCTTCCTTCTGAGGAGTGGCTGGTGGGTTTGCACCACCAGCCTTTTGGTTAGCAGTCAAATACCTTAGGCACTACGCCACCAGAGGTCCCCCCACCCAAGCCATGGTATTTTCAGTCCCCTCATATACATATGAAAGCTGGATAGTGAGTGAGGAAGACTGAAGAAAATTGATGCCTTTGAATTATGGTGTTGGGGAAGAATAATGAATATGCTCTGGTGGCACAGTGGTTAAAGCATTTGTCTGTGAACCAAAAGGGCAGCAGCTTGAACCTACCAGCTGCTCTGTGAGAGAAAGATGAGGTAGTATGCTTCCATAAAGATGTACAAACTTGGTTGTAAATACTCTGTCCTGTAGGGTCACTAGAAGTTGGAATCAACTTGATGGCTATGAATTTGGGTTGGCCAGAAGAATAACAAACCTGTCTTGGAAGAAGTACAGCCAGAATGCTCCTTAGAAGCAATGATGGCAAAACTTCACCACATGTACTTTGGACATGTTATCAGGAGGGACCAGTCCCTGGAGAAAGATATGATATTTGGCAAATAGAGGGTCAGTGAAACAGAGGAAGATCCACAAGGAAGTAGGTTGACACAGTGGTTGCAAGAGTGGGCTCAAAAAGCAATGATTCTGAGGATGGCACAAGACGAGATTGTATTTCATTCTGTGTATATGAGATCACTATTAGCCAGAACTGACTCAATGGTACTTCCCAACAACAACAAGAAGCCTCTTTGGACAAATGACTAAAACTTGCTTTAACTAGCTTTGGCAAAAACAGGTACCCTACTTAGAGATTCAAGGTGTCTCATGGAATTGCCAGTCAAGAATATAAGTAGACTTTGCAACTGACTAGCATCAAGGTAGTCCTCTTTCCATCTCTCCTCTCTGCATCTGACTATCTTCTTTGCTTGTGTCTCTCTCCCTCTCCTTCTTCACCCAACTGCAGAAACATGGCCACCAGTAGCTCCTAGGTTATACATTGCAAGTCTAGACAACCACCAAGAGAGAGAAAATCTCTTTCTTCCAATATCAATTCTAAATGTCTAGTAGATGAATTCAGTACCCTCTCCTGTCCTGTAAACTATAGCAATAAGGTAAGATAACATTTTACACAAGAGTTGTGAAGGGTAGACTGCTGTCACTTTACAGTTCTAGGATAAGAGAGTCAGGGTGCTATGCAGAAAACCTAGACTGTGTCCCAAGAGGTTGTCTGTGCTTTGCTGGGTGATATGTTGGGGAAACAGCTTCCCTAAGGAGATATTCTGCACGCATGAGCAGCTCATCTTGGAACTTCATCTACCCTTTCAATAAACTTAATGAGAATCCACTAAGCATGATTGTAACAATGAAAACCTGTTTTCTAGGAGCTTACAGTTTAGAATGAAAGCAGACAATTATTATAATGTGATTAATATAACAATGGGGAAGGTATAAGGTACAGTTTTAGGACTAGTATCTTATGGTGAACCTGGCCTGTGGACCACAAAAAAAGTTTTGGAGGGCATTCAGTGTTTAAGTCATGCTGTGAGGTACATCTCAGTATTCAAATAGGCATTCCAGGGAGAAGGAAAACCACGTGCAAAGACATGAGGCAGCATGACACGAGCAAGACATGGCACTTGGTATTCTATGGAGAAAGGATGTTTGATGGAGAAAGCTGATGAACTGTAATTAAAGCAGTATTGTGAAGGATAGGAGAGAGGAAATGGGATTCTAGAGATGGTAAGTAAGTAAAATTTAAAGGATTTAGTGGACAACTGAATAGTGGGACAGCAAGAAGGGTCCAAGATGACTCTTAGTGTCTTTATAAAAGAGATGGGTAGATAGTGGTATCATTAACTAGTATAGGTGGGGCAGGCCACATAATTGATTACCTGACCAGTGTATTTTTAAGAGTGAAAGAGACACTATTAATCATTATGACAGGACAATAAGTATAAATCAGGACACTTCCAAAGAAACCTGGACATATGCATACCCCAACTACAGGAATAGTTCTCTTTATAATTTTGTTTGATACACTGGGACACTTTTGATTAAAAGTAGCAAAAACTCACATAGCTAGCTTAGAAAAAGTGAGACGATTTATTCTAAGTTTACAGGGATATCTGTAATTCAAAAACATGGATGGAGCCAGGTCTTTAAGAAGGACAGGAACTAGGAAAACCAAAAGTGCCTGTCTATATCTCATCTCTGCGGTCCTCTAGAACCTGTTAGAATGCAGATTCTTTGGCTCTACCCCCGCCCCCCACCTGCTGAATCAGAAACTAGGGAGGAGGTAGCAGCAGTCTGTGCTTAATAAGGTTTACAGGTGACTGTCAGGCATGCTAGGAGCTCTGGTAGCATAGTGTCTAAGGCACTTAACTGCTAACCAGAAGGCTGGCGGTTCAAACCCACCAGCCACTCCTCGGAAGGAAGATGGGGCAATCTACTTTTGTAGTGATGTTGTTGTTGTTGTTGTTATGTGCCGTCAAGTCGGCCCCGACTCATACTGCCTCAGAAACCCAAGAAGGGACTATGAGTCAGGTCCAACTTGACAGTGCATAACAGCAACATTGTGTCAGGCTCGCTAAATGTTGAGAACCATTTCCCTAAAAGCCTCTCTGCTGGTGTATTCTCATGTTAAGAACCTGCTTTCTGTTTTCATAGGAAAGCAAATGACCTCTGCTGACTTTTACAGAGTCTAATTTTTCCCATATGTAACAGAAGAATCAAGACAGACCTGGGTTCTCTAGATGCCAGTTTAGCACTACTTGGTTCAGTTTATGGACAGGAGGCTTGTTCAAGTTGTTGATTTGTCGCTGCTCTCTCTATAATCATCTGGCAGTGTGTGTGTGTGGGGGGGGTGTCCCCCAAAATTAGGGAGTCAGTTGGCGGGAAATTAAGAGAGATAAGAAATATACTACCCACTAAAAGTATCCATCAAAGTGAAAATGTTTAGAAGTCAGTTGGATATAGTAACATAATTTATAAAAGGGTACTGGGAAGTTCATAGGTCAGAGTTCTGAACTATGCAGGGAGGAACATTGCCTACTCGCATGTCAGGGGCTCTTCTGGAACCATCACTGGTCAACACAAACCCAGAGGCTCAGATATTACAAATGAACCACACACAGGCCCTCTGTATCCTTCCAGCCTATATTGACTCTGAAAATTCTAAATATTGGCATGTTTAAACCTACTGAAGAACAACAAAAAAAAAAAGAGAAAGTGAAGAAAAATAAACATAAGAGTGATACTAACTGTGCTCAGCTATAAACACCTTACCTCCTGAGCCTGATTCCATGTATCACAGTGCTGAGTATGTTTACTCTCCAGCAGGCTTCAGCCAATTTGATTGCAACATGAAACACCCTCCCAATGTACTCACTGTTCACAGCTTAATGTCATGGTGCACAGTAGACTTCTCTTATTAAAAACAAACAAAGCATGTAATAGGGCTCTGCTGAATTTAACAAGCAACCTATGTTTCTGTTTAGATTGAAAGCCTTGAAGATGAAGCTAATACAGTGATTCAAATGTACAAACTTATTGAGCAATATCAGGTCCCCACACCTCCTGAAGACTTTGCTGTTTTTGCAACTCTGAAACCATCCATTATTGCTGTTCGCAACGCCATTGATAAATCGGTGGGTGATAGAGATACAAGCATCAAGCAATTTTGTCTGCATTTGGGTAGAGATCTTGAAGAGCTAAACAATGAAGTAAATGAAATAAAGATGCAAGCACAGGTAAGCTAAAGCAAGACTTTTAGAAAAATCTGTGTAAAGTTTTACTGTGGTTTAATTTTTAATCTGGTTTAGCTTCTGTGTCTAAGGTTTCTTCTAATCAGATAATAATGTTTTTCTGACCAGCTATTGAAAATCAGAAGTGTTTTTGAACCTCTGGAAGTATTTCTGAACCTCTAAGGACAGAATAGATTTCAGATGTTTTCAAGAAGAGCATACATGGAGTATTGAATACTATTCCTCCTGGCTTGTATTTATTACTTTGAAGTGAATGTTTTTACAACTTTCTAGCACACTTTATAATTTTGTCACAATTTAAAAATTTGCTTAGCCACAATAATAGAAAATTCTCCTTTGGAAAGAGGCAGAGTATAAATTGATAAATGATAATGAAGAATATTTGGATAACCAATTTTATTATACAAAAGATATAGGGGAAGTTTTAAAACTATTTAGAATAGACATCTGGGTAATTCTTACCTAAAGCATATATGAAAATGTGATTTTGTAATGATCTATTATTTTACTATTAACATTGACTAAATGTTATTACAGAAGTATAAAACTATGCAAACATATAATCAAATAGAAAAATTGGAAACAAACTCAATGTCCATGAACAAAGGATTAATAAAATGTGTGAGGGTACATCCACTCAAAGGAATATAATACAGACATTAAAATTATAATATATCTATGTATTGATATGAAAACTTAATAACTTATATTTCTTGTGTGCTTACTATGTCTAGTACCATACTGAGGACTTGGCATTGGTTTTACTTTTGTATTGGAGTATTTTTTTATTTTCTTACAGAGAAACCATACATAACTGTAGATAACTACAACTCAATGAATTATCAGAAAGTAAAGAAACCCATGTACCTACTACTCAGGTCAAGAACTGTATAGCATTATTAGCACCCTAGAAGTCACCTGGTAACACAGTGGTTAAAGCACTCAACTGGTAACCAAATTGTTGGCAGTTAGAACACACCAGCAGCTCCCTGGGAGAAAAGAGCTAATGATCTTTTCCTATAAAGATTATAGCCTAGGAAACCCTATGAAGAAGTTCTACTTTGTCATTTGGAGAGGAAGGAAGGGTTGCTTGAGTCAGAAACAACAGAACAACAGAAGTCCCCTTAGTGTTTCCTCTAATTATTAATCCTTCCTTCCTCTCCAAATCCACTACCCAAATTCTAATACCAAAAATCAGTTATGACAGTTTTTTGAACTTCAATTAAATAGTGATATAGTGTGTCCTTCATTTTGTTTTGTTTTATTCCTAAACTTCATCCTTGTCACTGTGTGTGTCACTGGTAGTGCAGTGGTCAAAACGCTCAGCTGCTAACCACAATGTCAGAAGATGGAACCCACCAGCCAAACCACAGGAGAAAGATGAGGCAGTCTGGTTCCATAAAGACTGATAGCCTTGGAAACCATATGAGGCAGTTCTACTCTATCCTGTAGGGTTGCATGAGTCAGAGTTCAACTGGACAACAATGGGTTTATAGTATTTCATTGTGTGCCACAATTTAATTACCCATTCCATGGTTAATGGACACTGGGATTAGTTACAACTTTGTGCAGTTATAAACACTGTTCTTAGGAACATTCTTGCATATGTTTGCATGTTTTAACTCATCTAATTCTCAGAATATCTATGAGATTTTGTTATTCACACTTTATAGAGAAGGAAACTAAAGTTCAGGAAACTTAAGTAACTTGCCCAGAGTCAAACTGGTAATACATGGAAGAGCCAGCTTAGGCAGTCTATGTCTAGCAATTAGTAGTTGGCTAATAACTGCTGTACAATATTATTTTAAGAATAATATATATGTGTGTAGGTAGATTGCTCTGGTAGCATAGTGGCTAAAGCACTTGACTGCTAACCAGAAGGCTGGCGGTTCAAACCCACCAGCCACTCCTTGGAAGGAAGGTTGGGCAATCCTACTTCCGTAGTGATACTGCCTCGGAAACCCAAGGAGGGGTCACTATGAGTCAGAGCCGACACGACGGCACATAACAACATAAGGTAGATTGCTAGAGAAAACAAAAAGTCTTAGCAAGTGCTTTATGTGTAATCATGCATTTTAAAAAGCAAGATGCACATACACAAAAATAATAGCAGAGGTTCTCTCTACATCATGGGATAACAAGTACTTCTATAGAGGTTTGAAATTAGCTTACTATCATCCATGAGCCAAGAACTGCAACTTTATATTCTTTCCATAAATATCATCTTGCTGTTAAGACCCCCCACTCCTCCTGATCAGGAAGTAGCAGAGAAAAAACATTATTTGCCAATTGATGGTAACTCAACTTCAGAAAATGTCTGTCTCATTCTGACTTGATCTCTTTTGGGTAGATTTTAATTCATTTCAAAATCTAAACTCCCTGTTGGGCATTTCTTTTCCTTTTAGAGACCTCACTACCTTTTCCACCAACCCCTCCTACCTCCTGCCCATAAGGGGTGGCTTACATTGCCACATGGTGGATGGGGAGGGGAGGGACATGTGATCCTCTTGCTGCTCTCTGGACCAGAGCAGCCTTCAGTGCTGTTTGGCTGGTCTCTGTCTGGGTGGTCCAGGCAGTTGTTTACTAAGAGTCCTTCTTGGTTCTTTAGGCACCATGCTAGCCCCTGTTGTTGCAGTCCATCATTCCTGCCAATGCCTTGTAGCAGCACATGGTCCGGGGCTTTCTCATCCTGACTTCAGACCTTTTCTGGTCTGAGGTATGTGTATACACATATGCACACACACAGAGTTCTCTCAGCACTTCCTACTTTCAGAATCATCTAGAATATGTTGTTATTTTGAATGCAGAGCTATGCTGAACCAGATATGGAATAATTAGCCTCCTCAAGTGATTGCTGTAATAGTCTCAGGTTCCTCCAGTTTACTCAAATTCTCCCAAACATAACCATTTCATTCCCATTCACTGAAGTTGCAACCTCAACAGGCCATCCAGGAAACTTATGTCTGGCTGTTTATTCTTCACCTTCTCTCTTCCTCCCTCTCACAATTCAAAGGACTTCCCACTTCCCCTTTTTATAAAATGGAAATTTTCTTCATATCATATCCTCTTCCTTCCTTTCTTCTTCCCTGAAGTCATGTTGGTTGAAGAAGTGTCATAGGAAATGAAAGCAGACAAGAGAAAATGCATTGCTAGATGGTTAGGTGCTGTTAAGTTGTCTCTGACTCATAGGGACCCCATGCACAGCAGAACGAAACACTGCCCAGTCCTGTACCAGCCTCACAAGCCTTGCTATACCTGAGCCCATAGTTGCAGGCACTGTGTCAATCCATCTCACTGAGGGCCTTCACCTTCTTCATTGACCTTCCACTTCACCAAGCATGAGATTCTTCTCCAGGGAATGGTTCCTTCTGACAACATGACCAAAGTAGGTGAGACAAAGTCTGGCCATTCTTGCTTCCAAGGAGAATTCTGGCTGCACTTCTTCCAGGACAGATTTGTTAGTCCTTTTAGCAGACCATGGTACTCTTAGCACACCACAACTCAAAAGCATCAACTCTTCTTCAGTCTTCCTTATTCATTGTGCAGCTCTCACATGCATAAGAGGTGATTGAAAGTACCATGGCTTGGGTTAGGTGCAGTTTAGTCTTCAGAGAGACATTTTTGCTCTTCACCACTTTAAGGAGGTTTTATGCAGCAGATTAGCCCAATGCAATATGTCGTCTGATATCTTGTCTGCTGCATCCATTGGTGTTGATTGTAGAACCAAATAATATGAAATCCTTGACAACTTCAGTCTTTTCTCCATTTATTGTGAAGCTGTTTATTGGACCAGATGTGAGGCGTTTTGTTTTCTTTATATTGAGGTGTAATCCATACTGCGGTCTGTAGTCTTTAATCTTCATCAGTAAATGCTTCAAGTCATCCTCACTTCCAGCAAGCAAAGTTGAGTCATCTGCATATTGCCGGTTGTTAATGAGTCTTCATCCAATTCTGATGCCACGTTCTTCTTCATATAATCCAGCTTCTTGGATTATTTGCTCAGCATACAATTTGAATAAGTACGATGAAAGATATAACCTTGATGCACTCACTTCTTGATTTTGAACCATGCAGTATATCTTTGTTCTGTTCGAACGACAGCCTCTTGATCTATGTACAGGTTCCTGATGAGTACAATCAAGTGTTCTGGAATTCCCATTCTTCTCAATATTATCCATAATTTTTTATGATCCACACAATTGAATGCTTTTGCATAGTCAATAAAACGTAAGTAAACATCTTCCTGGTATTCTTTGCTTTCAGCTAAGATCCATCTGACATCAGCAATGATATCCTTCATTCCACGTCCTCTTTTGAATCCAGCTTGCATTTCTGGAAGCTCTCTGTCAATATACTGCTGCAACTGTTTTTTAATTATCTTCAGTAAGATTTTACTTGCATGTGATATTAATGATATTGTTCGATAATTTCCACAGTCTGAGGGATCTCCTT